AAAACAAAGCGAAGGTTTCTGCTCTTCACTAAATAATCTTCTTTAGATTAAATGACTCCATGCAATGTAATGTATGAGGTATGAAAGAAGTATCTATGTAAACAGTAAGTATCGCATTAAAAGACAAGAAAAGCTGCAGAATTGTCTAATTTTCCCCCAAAAAGCAGAGTTTTTATGTCTGGATGGCCTCAGTGAGCTGAAGCAGAATAGATTATAAACACCAGCATTGACCCAGTGGTCCCCCCCCCCCTGCTTTATTATGTCCAGGTAATCTAAACTGATAGCTGTCAGAGAGAAAACAAGCCATCTGTTCATCTGGCAGGCTGCAGTTAAGCTTTTAATATTTTCCACCTGGATGAGCATTCGCTCATGGAAACATCCTCGGCCGTTTGAACCGTGGTAATTATCCCCCACTTCACCTGCCAGCAGTCTGGATCAACAAAGCGCTCAAACTAGTTGATGTCATGGATTTCTGCAAAGACTCGGCAGATATTCGCCCTGATCTGATACGCTGATCAAACCTTCTGCTCTGCAGGATTTTTAATGGTATTTTTTTATTTATTGGCACATTTCTATGCATTATAAAAGGTTGTCTGGTATTTAGTCAATTCAAATATGACAATATGTATTCAAGATTTAACATTTTCTACGAATAAGGATATTCTTCCCATGGATATCTTTAGTAGCAAAACACTTTTTATTCACAATGAAATGGATCTTACAGCTAAAATAACAAATGATTTAAAACAGATAAAAACATTTATCAACTCCCCAATAGTACTTCCGGTAAAACGTTGCATCTTGTTCTCTGTCCTATGATAAGATTATTTTTCTGAAATGCACCTATTGTCACTGACATCTCTGTGAACCAGAACAAAACAACTAAAAGATTCTGTTGATTTGTTAAAATATAATAAATGAACGACTTACTAACCAGCCTTTTACAACTTTTGTTTTATAGTGTTTTTTCTTTCAGTTAATATGTGAATAAAAATCGGATTCTATTCAGGATAGTATATTCCTAATGAAAGGAAATGTTTTTATATATAACATATCAGTAGCAGGAAGTTCTGCACATGAGAAAAGGAGAACACTTCAGAAGCATGAAGGCAACACAAGTACTTATAGAGAAAACAAATATATAATTAGAATAAGATGATGACATAAAAAACGATAAATGATTGGTAAGAAAATAATGGAAAGTTTGAGTAAAAGCAGATTTTGTTTAGATAGTGCCGTTCTTCCACTAGATGGCGCCATCCGTTTTTCTCCCCTTAGAACATCACCTCTAATGTTTCTCTTTCCATGATTCACATCCATCTGATTGAAGATACTAAATATGTGTCATAAATCAGAGAAGAACTATGAAGTTTTCTTAGTTTAAAAAAAAGGCATTAAAAAAATCCATTTTACAGAAAGTCATGTATGTCAAACATTTGATTTTAATAGTGAAATTAGATAATATTCTGGATCAAGATGATATAATTATGGATGAAAGTGGCTGAAATGAGATGTGCTACACTTAAAATTAGAAATACAGAGAAGAGCTCCGTCATCAGAGCAGAGCTCCTGCTTTTTCACACCGAAAGCCGAAAGTCGGTTTAGCTACTACAGGAATCTGAACCTCCTCGCTTAGATTTTCCACCAATCTATAACAGAGAGGAGATTGCTGCAAACACCTAGAACTCACTGGAGGGACAACTTATCCAATCTGACCTGAGAACGTGTTGGGATCCCTCAGGGTTGGAGAGGAATGTCTGGGATTTCCCTCTGCTGCCACAATCTGAGTGGATGGATGGGAAATTAGATGACCAGGCTGGTTTTTCTTTAACATTAAATATAAAACTTTGATCTTTTGTTCTTAAGTGGGTCCTGAAAGCAAGCAGGAAGCAGCCAGGGTTGCTTTAGAAATACATTTTTAATGAGAATTAAAAAGGAGAAAAACTTATAAAAACCTACAAAACCGTTAAATATATGGATGTAAAGCAAAATCTGATCGGAAAGATGTGGGGAGGAAAAATGGCACAAACACAACAAAATAAATAGCAAACAGAAACTTTTCTTTGTTGATAGACAGGTTAAAACAGATCAGGACTTAATGTTACTGCTGCGCTCTAAGCGTGCAGAAGAACGGATGCCACAGAGCTTCTTCCAGAGTAATCCTCCTGCTGACGTCGTAGTCCAGCATGCAGCCCAGCAGGTCGAACAGCTGCTTCTCCTCATCACTGTCTGTTCTCATGTACTGCTAAAAACAAAAACAAAGGAACACTTTAACAAGCACCGCTCTTTCTAGATTAAAGCAGCAGAGGCATGTCAGTAGATAGTATCTGGTTAAGTATCCCTTCTTATAAATAGTTTATCTATGTGTAACACATCTCCTTTTCTCCATTTTCTAAAGCACCTGAAGAAAAAGTGACCAGATAGTTAAAGCAGGAGCTGTGATGGACTTTGACTTGCTGTCGGCAAACAGGTTAAATAGTAAAACAATAAGCTTTGCTTTCTTCTCCTCCCATACTGTAAAGTTGCCTTAAGCTTCTTTTTAAAGACAGTTAACTTCTGTAAATAATCGTGTTTAGCGTTTTTACATTAAAGGTTTTACTGATAAAAAAGTAAAATAGAAAAAAGAACATATATCACATATATGCACTAAATGCTATCCAAATGTCTTTAAATTATTTACTTAATGTTAAAGCTCTGTCTGCACCAATGAAGGTTAATGCTAAATGCTGAGAGAGGATCATATTTAAACTGACTTAATGTTTCATAAATCACCCCAGCATGGACAGCATCGTCTGGTGGTGTCCCTAAGTTCTCACTATGAGCCAAAATCAACAAAGTTTTCAGCATTAAAACTTCTAAAACACCATGAAAAAAAATCTAGGCAAGATTAAACATCCAATATTTACCTTAATAAAGTAGATAACAAACAAATTATTTTTGAAAACTCCTTTTCTTATTTATCAAAGGTAAATAAATGGCTGTTTACTGCATTATTCCTGTTTTTGAGTTAAAAGTAGGTATTTGTGACCTGATGTTTTAGTATACGATTAAAATGCATAAACGTGAAATAATTGTGCTGATCCTGACAGTTTTATTTACACTTTAAAAAAAAAATAATTTGTTTCATCCTAAAACAATTACAAATAAATTGCTATCAGCATCAGGTACATTTGGGGCCTCAGGGCATGATCGGGGGGGATTGTAAATTGAAGCTAGGTAATAATAGGCTCCATGGTGCATAACTGTGCTATAGATGCATGTGAAAGCTGCAGTCCAGGTTTAGTTGAGTTTTTCTGATATATTTAAACAATCAAAATAGTTCATATGCATCAGAACAAAAATAGTTATTTAAACAGCAGAAACAGAACAGGTGGAACCACGGTACCTACTGCCAGCACTTTAAAGGGTCAAGATTTATAAACGGCAAAATAAAATGACTGAATTTCTCATCAGCAAGTCATTGTGTCAGAATCTTGGTTTGTTAGTTCCTGTTTTTCTTGGTTTTCCATTTGTTGTCCTCTGCTGCCCTCTTGTGTCCTCTATCCCTTGCTCTGTTTTCTGTTCTGCCCTCACCTGTTTTTTAATTCCCTCATTAGCCCTCTCTTTGTCTCTGTCCCCTTTAAAAGCCCTCCCTCTTCAGTTCCTGTTTGCTGGATCCTCGTCAATCGTCTTTTGGCTTTCCTCGTCTCTCCCTGGCTCCTAGAGTTTGGTTTTCCCCTGATGTCTCCTTGGTTCTGGTTTGTTTGTTATTTTTGTTGGATTTTTTGATTCCTGCCTCAGTTCCTGTGAACCTTCACAGGTTCACCTCTGCCTACTTGTCTCTGCATCTGGGTCCTCAATCAAACACCACATCCTGACACATTGAGATCTGCAGAAGCCTGAAAATGATCCATGAATTTAATGTAGGAACATTTTCCACAGAGCAGGAGGACAGGTGAGGGTAAAGCCAGTGTCCCAATGTAAGCCTTCCATAGTACACTGCAAAAACGCCCAAAAAATTAGTTAATTAAATGTATTAATCCTTAATTTGAGCAGGTGAATAAGATGAATTACCAATGGAATGAGTATTTTTTTCTCCTAAAATAAGATAATTACATAATATGCACTTAAAATAAGACAATGCTATAGTTTTTTTCTTATTTTAAATGTAAATTGTTTTGTTTCACTGGCAAACTGTCTCAATTACATCCTTAATTCAAGAAAAAATTCAATTATTTTAAGGAAAAATGACTTATTTATATATTTTTTGCAGTTGAATCATGAACACAATGAGATCAGCATAAAATGAATGAAAGGTTTAAGATATCAGGTATTATTAATGTACGCTGCTACTTTTCAACCTTCAGTGAAACTGCTTTAGACGGAGCGAGGAAACGAATATTTGTTTTACCCTGAGAGGTTGGCAGAACTTCTGAATAGCATCATCGGAGGAATTAGCTTTATCCACGTTCAGATGTTCGTTTTTTACAAAGTGCTTCTTCCTGCACATCAAAAAGACAAATTTACGTTATTCGATGACAGAAAACTGAAGCGTATTTATATCCTGCCAGCATTTTCAATAAGCAAGAATGAAAGCACCATGAAAATGATTTAAACATGTTAGTTGGTCTTTGCAACTCTAACAGACAAGCAGGCATTAATGTCAACTATTGCTATCTTTTTGAAAACTGCTGATTAAATAGCATTTATTGTCTATTTAAAGTAACAGCAGAAAATCTGATCCAAAAATAGCTGCACGGATATAGAAAAAAAAATCCTTTTTAAGCAGTTTTGCTTATGGATAAAGTCACTATTACACCGTGACAATTCAGACCAGCTGCATGCCTGACGTACGAAAAATCTTTTAGAAACGCTGGCATACGTTGGATAAGTTATGAATATGGTGAAGTGTGCTGAAACGCGTCGACATACGGCGAGTACCCGCCCTATTCCAGCGTCTGCCGTCCGTGGTCCATCAGTTCCAGGTCAGTTATCTGATGGTCGACA